GTACTCGTTGTTTTTTTTTTTGCAACGAGTTTCCTAAATGACTTTGACCTTTGTTAGGTGTGAATGTTCTCTTACCCTGGTTTCCTGGCATAGGAAGCTGTTGGCCGTTCACCTTCAGGTTTAATGGAAACAAGAAAAAATAGACATCATTGGCTGTTAGAGTTGAAGTTGAATTTACTAGCCTGTACTAGCATGATTAGGTTGGAAGTTATTATTGTCTGCATGGCTATAAAATGGTTGAATAGCACAGAAGTGTGTAAGCTCTCTGTTCTCACTGAAACTGAAGTGGGTACAGGTATCTGAGCTGATCTGAGAGCAGATAGAGGATGATTGGATAATTCTTGAATATTGCATTATTTATTTACAGAGGATAGCTGGAAAAGCATTTTGCAATCATCTTTCCTTAAAGGGAATTTCAACTGTGCTGACTAGTTTCTTAGCGATCCAAAAGAGTGTTTCTGGTTTCCTTTAAGGGGGCACTAGCAATTTTGATGCGAACTAGGCATGGGCATTTTTCAAAAATATTGTATTTGAATATTTGGGCTCATAAAAAACGAATATTCAAATATTTGTTTATTTAAATGACATTTAACGAGAAAGACGTCATTTTTTTAATCAAGTTTTTGTCACCTGAACATGCTTATGATTAGGCATTGTACACAACAATGTTAACAATAACGTTACATTATATCTCAAGGTTTACTTTTAGTTGAAAATGTGTGTTAAAAAAAAAAATATATATATATATATATATATAATTAAATATTGAGCTTGAGGTCGGACCAGGCAATCGAAGTAAGTGTGAAAGCACCCTAAGGGTCCAGTCGGCCTGCAGGACTCTCTGAGGAAGAGGAGAGGCATTTGTTTAGTTCAGAGTAAAGACCAGTGGGTTTGGGAATTGTTTGAATCATAATAGACATAAAGCAAATAGTTTAAGACTACAAAACTTGATCATATCATCTGAGTTTGCAAATTTATATTTACACATACAGTCCTGTTTAATTAGTTGATTTACATATGCCACTTTTTCATTAATTCAGATTTCTGGAAATATTTCTAGCCTTTTCTGATGTGATATACAATAATATATAAAATAAAATATAAAGAGATTTCTATATAATATAAATTTATAACTGAATACTTATAGCTTAATCATCATTGCTGTTTTTAATTTTCTTTGTCAGGCTTTGATGATAATTTTCAATATTGTATTAAACTATTATTTCTATATGAATTTAAGCTTTGTTTCAATCATTATAAAAAACAATTGTTCTATGCAATAAGTTGAAATATTCAAACCTAGTAAGAGAACTCATTAAAGAACCCATGACACTAGATGTTTTGATGTTTGTCAAATAAATGCAGCCTTGGTGAGCATAAGAGATTTCTTCCAAAAACATGAAAAAAAAAAAAAAAATCTTACTGACCCCAAACTTTTGTATAGATTGCTTCAAAATCGCCAGACATGTATTAAGAGCCACAAAACTCCAATTGTGGACTCTCGAAGCCACAAAAGTCTTGAAGACTTCCTCACTGGAGAACTAGAGCGTTATTTAAGCCTGCTGTACTGTTGCAACAGCCATGTGATTTATTCCCCAAAGGTCAGCCTGAAGGTGTGAAAGTTAGTGTTAGCTGATAAGATAAAAGAGGCTTAAACAAAGTGAAGTGACTGAGAATTAAACACTGTGATTATATAAACACTCTCATTTCCTTTTTGGCTGGTGAGGCATAGGTCAGCTCTCCAAACATCATGAAGTCTCCATGAAGACTGACATGATCTAGTCTGAGCATTTTGTCTGATTGGCTGTATAACAGTAAAGCATTTAAATGACTAATACTTTCCGCCTCTTTATTAGCTCCACCCACTAATGAATGACAGAGCCGTTGACAAGCACAATATATCTTAGTCCAGATAATTGTGAAATGGCTTAACCTGGTATTTGGTCTACTTTTCAGCCCTTAAAATTCTGTAGTGGAAACTAATGAGTATTAAGTCAGTAATCGGTGTGTGAAAGAAGAAATGGTTGGTTTCATTACTCTCACAGCATTTTACAGGTTGGAAACGGCTAAAGCAGATTAGCGACTAGCATTCTACATGACGTACATGATTTTCTCTGCAGTATTCATGCCCCCTGGCGAGGCGTTTTTAAGAAAGCCTGCAATTTTTCACTTTGCTTTGGTATAATTAGGTAATTGCCTCGTGGTACAGAACTGCAATTTTGCTGTGTTCACCCGTCAGACGATTTGCCTTGAGGGCAGCTCATCCTGTGTTATTATCTCCGCACAAACACACACACATGGGCCGAGCTACAGAAGCATTGTGACAGTTTCCCCTTTCAGACCAAATAAAATACTAGAGTAAATTGCTTTGCTAGTTTATGTAACTTTGCCGCTTGAATAGGGACAAATTGAGCTACTAAAGCCCAAAGTATACTTCGTTCTCGTACGTGTATGCTAGCGCATGCGTACAGTTGAGCGCATAGTATACTCCATGTGTAAGTGTGCGTGAACGCAGGCAGACGACACGTGTGCTCTAGAAAGCTTCATCTTAGTCCAGTGTCTGCGCTATTTTTCTCCAGAAGGTTTGGCCAATAAAAATATCTTTGTACTCTTTTAAACTAAAGTTGTGTCTCTCTCATAACTCTCTCATGCAAGCGCTGTTGTTGCTGCAGTCTCTGGTATTTTGTTGTTGTTGTTGTTCCGTCTCTTTTCACTTTCTATTGTGAAGCAACGGCCCGGACCAGTGCTGCCACCTTGTGGAACAACCGATTAGTGCAAAACAAATTCAGTGTGCATGTGCGACCTGGGCGTACAAAGTACACGCGGTTACAAAAACGGGGTGGTGCACAGTACGCGTATACTAATCTGGTGACGAAATTTGCGTCACGCGTACTGTACGCGGACCCTCGCATACACGTAAAAACCGAAGAATACTTTGGGCTTAAGAGTGTGATTAGTAAACTTTTTTTTTTTTCTTTTTTCAGTGCACAATCCTAGTTTGAGAAGGTATACAGCCATCCTAAATATAGTCCATGTCTGTTCTTTCTCAAGTTTGCATACGTACGGCTTCACAGTCAGTAGTTGACAGCTCAGAGTGAGAAACAGACACATTATATAGTGTGTTAGGTAATTCCTCTTCTTTACAACCAGCTGTAGCTCCACAAACCTGTCAAAATCGGCTCAGCAGATGGAAGGACAGTCATCCTGTTGTTTCTTTACAAGCACAGATGAGCTGCCGATTAAAACGTTTAACACTGCTAAGTGGAACTTGATGGGTGTGCCATTGAATCTGTTAGTCAGGGAGTTGAAGATAATCCGAAAGTCAATACTTTGTGTTTGCAGGAACGAACCGCTTTCTAAATGTATTTTACAGGCGGACACTTCCTATTACACTGTAGTAGTTGCCCCTGAGACTTCATAACTCCTAGCTGTTTAACGTGAATTTAACCTGGGATATTCCTTTAAAAAATGGTGAAGTATCTGACCAGGGATATTCTTTTAAAAAATATATATTGAGGAATGTTTACCCCTTAATACACTACCATTAGGTTTAGGGTAGGGCTGTGCGATATTGAAGAAAAATGCGATATGCGATGCATTACATAAAAATGTCATTTTAACATTAGTGTAATCATGTTAACATGAGTTTAGGAACTGAATAATAAAAAGGAAAAATAAAACACTGCTTAGTATTTACTTTTTGAATTCAATATGCACTGATTCATATTTAAGCTACAAAAGTTATTTAGGTAAGAGCAGTGATTTTCTCTGTCTTTTGTTCATAGCCCCAAATATTGCAAGCTGTAGCGATATGCATATTGCGATATGTACATTTGCGATATTTCGATAATTTCGATATATTGCACAGCCCTAGTTTAGGGTCAGTAAGACCCTACTATTATGCAGTGTAACTGTTTATCTTATGATTGATAATAATAAGAAATGTTTCTTGAGTACCAAATTCATTATATTATAATGATTTCTGAAGTATCATGTGACACCGTAGACTGGAATGACTGCTGAAAATTCAGCTTTGCATCACAGGAATAAATTACGTTTTAAGATATATTACAATAGAAAACAGTTATTTGAATTTGTAATATTTCACATTATTACCATTTTTATTGTATTTTTGAATAACTATATATATAGGCTCGGTGAGACTTCAAAAAAGACTCAAAAACATGAAAAAAATCTTACCAACCCCAAACATTGAAGTTGTAGTGTACATGCTAATGTTTAAGAAGGTTGAAGTTTGGCCTAGTGGTTAGTTTATGTGCTCCAGATATATTGAGTCTTGGTGGTTATTTTTGGGAAATACGGGTTCGAATCCAACCTACCTGCATCATTTCCTGATCTCATTCTTGCTTTGTCTAAAAATAATTACAAAGAAAAAAAAGTACTGCTAAGTACTCCTCTAAAATATCAAATCAGTCAATGAATCCCTTTTTAAACCAATTTCTCTAACTATGAACGATGCAAAACGGTGCAGCCCATCCAAAAGGAAAATCTGATCATGCAGTAGCTGAGGAGCGAAGGAAGAAACCACAGAGCTGACAGGAGCTTTATAGATCACAGCGCCATCAATCTCTGACATTTCAGCAGGGAGAGCAGGAGGCCAGCGCTCTGCCAAGCCCAGTCTGAAGCCCTTGGACTACTGCTCGCCTGAACCGCGCTGAAATGAAGATGACGTCCCGCTAAAGGGAGGCTGTTGATGTTCCTGATTTATGGGCCATAAGTGTCGATACGACATGTTTCAGTGATGAACCGGACTGATAGACTGTCCGGTGTGTTGTTGAAAGCTGCTGCTGGCACTGTAGATATAGTGAGGCGAGAGATTTAGGGTGCTTGAATGGGTGTTTGTGAGAGAAATGCAATCGTTTTCACATTACCGCTTTTTACTGAAGGAGTAGAGTTTGTCGACTGTTATGAGTGCCTGTCTAAAAAGTGTTTTAATAAATTTCTCTCTCTCCTCCCCCTCCTTCTCTCTGTTCACTCAGAAATCTGAGCCACAACAAGCTGGCGGCAGTCGATATGGACATCCTCTCCAATCTGCCTAACCTGAAAGAAGTGTGAGTAGAACAGCCCCATGTCCCCAGTCCAAACCTCCCGTAGATCTGCACAGTGTCAGCTTTAAATCTGTCCCTGCTTAATGAAATCAATTAGCATGCTAGCAACTTTTCCAGGGCTGTAACAGAATGTTCTAGGGTGTTGTTGGCCTTCACAAACTTTAAGGCCAACGTTTGTTTTCAGGTCAACAATGTCTTTTTAAATTGATCTTGATTCGGCTTCATTCATTTCAAATCTTTAGTTATATATTGTATAAGACAGCTCTGAGACCAGTATAAAATCCTGTTTCTGAGTAGAAGCGCTGGCTGATGTTTAGTGTAAAACCACTACTAAATTCGGCTAGAAAACATTCCCACAACTAAAGCCCCATAGAGAGAGGCAATTGAATGAAGTACATTAAATGGTGTAATAACGTTAATTACAGCCATTAGCCACAAACGGTCATAAATCATTTTAAAGCGTGCTGTCAGCGCTATTGGATATTTAAGTACTTTTGCTGGTGGCTATTGTCCTGAAAGTGGCGGAGATTGGGAATAAAGAGGTTTGCTATTATAAGCGCCTTCCATCATCACCTAACACCAGCCACTAACCTGCGCTGTAAATATTTAATACATCGAGGGACTGTGTCTGGCCCTCAGCCAGACAGGCCTACTTTCTCTCTCTCTCTCTCTCTCTCTCTCTCGCTCTCTCTCTCTCTCTCTCTCTCTCTCTCGATGTTTTGGTAGTAAAAAAAAAAAAATAATAATATATATATATATATATATATATATATTTATTTATTTTATTTTTTTTTATGGTAAAACATTAAACATATATTATTTATAATATATCTAATTTATTTTATTAATATATTTATGGTAAAATACATCAAATACATTTTCAAAAATATATATTAAATAAATTAATTCTAATATGAGATCTATATTATAATTAGGTCACCGTCTAAGCTATGTGTAACCTGGATTTTGTTCTGTTTTTTGATTGACAGGAGGCTTGACCACAATGAACTGACATCCATCCCTTCATTTGGAGACGCAGCAGCAATAGTCGTTACACTCTTCTTGTAAGTGAAACGTCAGTGTGTGTGCTGTGTTGACGGCTGCTGCTGAGGAGGAACGTTCTGTACATGACACAAATTATTGTTTGCATGGTGTGGGCAGTCAGGAACATTTCAGTTTTAGCATTTCAATTAGTGAAATTTGTTTAATCTTTTTGTGGTTATTAATTCAGCAAAACTGCACGCCTAAAAATTCCCACTTCTTGTAGACGGTGTTTAGTGTTGCTGGCTGTGGTAGTGAAACTCAGACTGGTGGGACTGCCTTTACTAGCGTTACCCTGGAGAATGTATCCCTTATTTTGGGGTGATCACCTGTATGTGTTTGTTTAAGCCCATTCCTTCCTTGGCATCCAGGTACACAGTTATGGCTTGTGAATATGAGTTTTCCCAGCATTATATAGTAAGACGGCTAGATTTGCACTAGCTGCAAATATCAGTACTGAATGTCAGGTTTATACTATAATATTAAAGGAGAAGTACGTCAACTGAATAGAATTGCAAAATGACAGGAATTCTGAAGCAATGATATTTTAACATCAAGTATCAACATATCAAAAAAAAGTACAGCTTCTTCTTTACATTTATGTGATTGTAGAGCTGCACGATTAATCGTTAAAAGATCGCGATCTCGATTCAGACAACCACACGATCTCATTTCTAAATGACAATGATTCTCCCGTGTCTATTAAACCTTTGACAAAGTCTTACCAGATCATTCAAATCTGCGTTCGCGCTGCCACTGACACACAGCGCAGTTACCATGTTTGGTTAAGAAACAGCTTCACAGTTTTTTGAACTACACAGTATTATTTCTGTCGTACAGTCATTCATATTATCACAGAAATACTGGTATGAAAGTTTTAATTCAGATATAAACATTGATGTCTATGGTAGCGCGACCAAAATAGAGCCGTGTTTGAAAGTAACTGCCACATAACGTTTGTGTCGATTGCATTGTTTCGCCACTAGGTGGCGAAAAGTGACTTAAAAATGTATAATTGAATTAATCTTTTATTTAAGAGAATCGTTCAAAAACGCTGATTCAATCAGTAGGGTTATGAGTGAGTCGTTGAACCATTGATGCAAACAACTTTTTCATAATTGTAATATTAAATTGGTGTATTAAATATATTATATTTTAAATACATATTACACTACCAGTCAAAAGTTTTTGAACCGTAAGATTTTTAATGTTTTTTTTAAAGAAGTCTCTTCTGCTCACCAAGCCTGCATTTATTTGATCCAAAGTACAGCAAAAACAGTA